TAAGTAGCTTCAGGAAGTTAATATAGGTTTTGGTGACAGGAATTGGGGGTTTATATAAATAAATACCACAAATTCCTAAGGATATGAAAATGAATTTTGAACTGGGTAGAGTGGACAAAAGCTACAGAGTTTTGAGGTGTACAGTAGAAAGAGCCTGGACTGCTTAAAACAAAAACAAAAACAAAGAAAACCTGAAACCCTGTTGGTAGGAATACAGAGTGACGGCAGGTATGGTACTACATATCTTTAATCCCAGACTTAGAAGGATGATGTAGAAGGAACATGATTTCAAGGCTATCCTGGCCTGTATAGTAAACCTTTATATTAAAACAAATTTAGCAATATGGATAGTAAACACAATTCTGGTAAGCTCAGAAAGAAAGAGCAATAGAGAAAGATTCTTCTGTTGAATCTTTCACTTACATCATCCTAAACAAAGTGTTGATAGGAACATGAATATTATAGATCTTTTGGTGAGACCTTAAAAGGAAGTTGAAGAAGCCATTATTGGGTGTGGGAGGAAAGCTTATCCTTGTTAGTGTCAATTGTTCTGATGTTTTGTAGGAAAGAAAGCTTGTAAAATATTTAGCAAAAGAGATTCTCAAGCACAGTGTTAAAGGAATGGTCTGGTTTTTCCTTGCTGCTGCTTATGGTAAAATGAGAGTAGACAGAATAGTTGGAGAAAAATATTAATCGCCGGGCAGTGGTGGCGCACGCCTTTAATCCTAGCACTTGGGAGGCAGAGGCAGGCGGATTTCTGAGTTCGAGGTCAGCCTGGTCTACAGAGTGAGTTCCAGGACTCACTCTGTAGTTCCAGGGCTACACAGAGAAACCCTGTCTCGAAAAAAACAAACAAACAAACAAAAAATAATCACGAAGAAAATAGAACATAAGATATAGAAAAATCTCAGGCTAGCCAGACATATGCTTGTAATCCTAGCACTTGGGAGATGGAAGCAGGAAGATCAGGAATTTAAGGTTACCCTTGGCTTTATAGTGAGTTTAATGATAGCCTGGTATTCATTAAGCCCTGTCACAAAGGGAAGGGAAAGAAAGAAAATGTTAGTTTAATTATTTTGCAAAAAATGAGAAAGCAAAAATTGAGAAAGGAAAAAAAATTGAGAAAGCAGTCCAAATCTGTTATTCCAGAATTTGATAGGGTAACACGGGAGGAACATAGACTTTCAGAGCTACATAGTAAGTTCAAGGTCAGTTTCTGTTACAGAGTAAAACTCTGTCAAAAAATCTGACACATTTTATGGGCTAGAAAAATAGCTCTGTGTAGAGTATTTGTTCAGTATGTGTGAGGTCCTGGGTTTAATTCCCAGCACTATAAAACTTTTTATTTTTATTATTTTTTTTAAAGATTTATTTATTTATTATATGTAAGTACACTGTGGCTGTCTTCAGACACCCATATGAGGGCATCAGATCTCATTGCAGATGGTTGTGAGCCACCATGTGGTTGTTGGGATTTGAACTCATGACCTCTAGAAGAGCAGTCAGTGCTCTTAACCGCTGAGCCATCTCACCAGCCCTAAAACTTTTTAAAAAGCATACTTTAGAGAGATCACAAAGATGATGGCTGGCTAAGAACTTGCTAAGGAAAGGAAGCTTGTATGTACTCCTGCCTCTCAGAAGCCTGGACTTGAGATGGGATTATACAGAATGGATCTGTGGAGGACTCTCTTATAACCTAGGCCTTCATGAACTGCATGAGAGGCCAGCAAAATTTGCTAGAAATTTATACCAACAGAAACATTGTCAGCCTATGAAAAGAATCGAGATGAGAATACGAGGATGGATGAAACAAAGGAATGAAAGACAAAAGGAAAGAAAGAAGTGAGGGAATGGGGAAAGGAGGGAGAAAGGAAAAGGAAGGAAGGGAGGGAGGTATGTGGTTGATTTTGAATACAGAGCTGGGGATGAAGAAGCCAAAGAGGGCCCAGAGGATGCGGTCACTTTGGTGGGCCTAGAGAACAGAGTACCTGGATATAGAGATTTCTCCTTAGGCCCTGATATCCAGAATTTTCCCTGCTATAATTGGGACTTGCTTAGGACCATGAACCCCTGCTTCATCCCAATGTCTCTTGTTTGTAATGGGATTTTTTTTTCCTGTGCCTTCCCCTTTCACCTTCTGATGGTAGCTAACTCATTTACTAGGTTCACAGCCCAGAAGCCTATGATAGCTAGTTGGGAGAGTCCAGATGGAGAATGGAAATCCTAGTGGGGCTGGCTGACAGCAGGCAGGGGTGTCACAAGAGGCAGTATGAAGTACAGGCACAGGAGGGAATAGGAGAGGGACAGGAGGCTTACCTGCAGTCACTGAGTTCTCTGGGCCTGTAGGTAGAGAGTTTTTCTATTAGCATGGAAGCCTCCAGGAGCCTATAGCAGAGCAAGGAGGCTCAGGGACTCAGGGCCAAGTCAGGCTATACTTGACATGTTTCCCGCTCAAGTCTCAATGATGCCATGATGTAAAACTGCTTGCTCCAGGAAAAGGATGTATTGGAATTGTAAATAGTGTTTAGGTGACTTTGGCACCAGTGTCAAGGTGTAGAATCCGTTGTGTGTCTCAGAACCCAACTGAAAGTCCAAGGCAATCAATATTCAATAGAGGCCTTTCCACTCCTTATTCTTATTCTATCAACTTCCCTCAATATTGATTGCAATTAGGGGTGCTGTTCTCAAGGATAGTTGGTAGGAACAAGTATGCATTTGTGTTGGAAGATATATCTAGGGCAGCAAAAGGAAGCCTGCTAAGAAGGGAATGGGAAACCCAACTATCATAACCCATATTGGACACCTCTATAGTGAATCAAGAGGGTCCCCACACTCACTGGTGAAGAATTGCTGAATTCGAGGAAGGCCAACACCAGGACCACCTAGGAGGAAGGTGACTAGGATCCAGGTGAGACCCATAATGATGATTAGGGCCACGATGCGCAGGGGGCCTGCAGGCAGGATAGACACAGAGCAGGACTATCTCAGATATCAGTGAACAAACCCTGCAAAAACCCACTATCTCATATGACCAGATCTCCCCTTCTACTTGGGAACAAGTGATAGTAGGATTGGAAGGTGGGGGACCAATTGCTATCCACCAGACCCAAGAGATAGACCTGAACTTCCTCCTAGTATACTCCTTGTGAAAACCAGTCCTACCTGCTTCAGGATCTATCAAGTTCTCTCCTGTCTCAGATACATTGTGCTAAGACTCCTCCTTTCTAGCTGACTTTCTCTCATATTATCAACATGTCCTAACTTAGTAAGATAAAGATGAAACAGAGCTCCTGCAAGAAAAATCTCATTCCCTGACTCTTCATCTTCCACTTCTCCACCAAACTCTTTAAAAATTTATATTCTGGCTTGGAATATAGCTCTGTGGTAGAGCATTTGCCCAGCATGCATAAGACCCTGGCTTCCATCCCCCAGCATACACATAAAAGACATCTACATTGTGATTTCTATTACTTCACTCCCCAACTCTCTCCCACAAATTCTTACACTAGTCTTGCTCCCACAACACCAACTAAAGACTTTCAAACCTATGGCTTTCATGATGTCACATTTCTGATTGTCTGTCTGCTCTTTCTTGACCTCTCAGTGGGCTGCCCAAGCCCTCCTGATGCAGACACTTCACTACTAGGTTCCAGGATACTACTGTCTCCTGACTCCATACTCTGGGACTTCCTCTTTGTTGGTTAGATTGTGTTCCATTACTCTCTCCTCAAAAGGTGTTCTTTTCCAGGCTGCCTTCTCCAATCTTCATACTGTATGGGAGATTTCACCATGCAGCAATGACACCTTACACCTCCAGTCCTGATCTGTCTTGAACCCATATCCTCCCAGCCAGTTCCTTAATGTCCAATTTGGACTTATCCATAAAGCTGCTACCTTATCAGTTCTCAAATTCTACTCTCACCCCATACAGTCCCTTCAAGACACATTCATATTAATAGTCCAGCTGACAGGAGAGCTGCCACTAGGATGACACCCAACCTCACAGGCACCTAAGTCAGTCTCTTCTAAGGCCATGCCTCTCTATCTCTACTCTCCACTCCTCTCCAGCCTATTTCTCACAATTCATCAGTTCATTTTTCCAAAAGGCAGTTGGCCTGTTATTTGTGATATATATATATATTTTTTTTTCATTCATTCAATCCTTAACTACTTACAGTTTGGGAAGCTGAAGTCCTCAGAGGCGAAAGAATTTGTTCATAAAATGAGTGCTTGTGCACAGTCATCCATTAATAAATAAGCAAACCAGTGACTACCCAGGCCCTTCTAACACAGACATGAAGACACCTGGCCTCTCTTCAGTTCTCTGTGGAAGCCACCCACCTGCCAACCTCATGTCCACTTCTCCCGCTGGGTTGGGACCGCCGGCAGGTGCACTGTTTGGGAACTGTGGGTTCTGGGAGGAACGAAACAGGAAAGAGTAGGCTTGGGGTGGGGGCAGGGGCAAGTCTGTGCTGGGCGAGATCGGTGGGTGCTATGATTTGTTCCTCCAAACACCAGTCCAGGCTCAGTTCCCCGTGAGAGCTAGGAGAGCGCTAGGAGAAGCCCTGCCTGGCCAGGAGAGCCTTGGGAATCCGTCGCGCCTCACAGTCTGGCTAAGAGAAGCCTCCAGGACTGGAACGTAGCAATAGTTCTCTTCGACCCGGGGCCCTCCCGTGCTAGGCCCTGGGCTCAGGTCGGTCGTCTTGAGGCTGGTGGCAGAGAATGGGCGGGCCAAGGATGTTGCCTGGGTGTAGGGAGACGCAGATCAGGGAGTTCCCCAGTGGTCTCGCTCTGCCAGCTAGGTGAAGCAAATGAGTCATGTAGAAAAGCTTAGCAGGCACGACAATGGCCGCCCGCAGAAGGTCACAGCCCACAGACGTCGCTCTGCCATAGGCCCATAGGCTGCGCTGTGGGTCGCAGGTCCTCACGCAGGCTCCACCTCCAGACCTGCCTCCACCCTCTTCTCCAGAGGCTGGGTGGGAGGTACGTAGTGTGGCTGTGCACTCCTCTTGTGCTAAAGCTGAGCCGCCTAGCTTCCTACAAAGAGCCGAAGTCACTGCTGCAAGATGAAATCTCCTTCTAGACTTTGAGGTACTATACAATTTATAGTTCATGTTTGCTTAAAACTCTATGTAACCCAGGCTGTCCTCAAACTTGAAGCGATTCTCTTGCTTCAGGCTCTCAAGTGTTGGAATTACAGGTGTAAACCACCAGAGCCCCCATTCCCACTTCCTCCACACTTCCTCTTAGGTGAGGGATCTTTTATTTCTACGTTTGATGAGCTGAAGCTCTGACTGTGACTTGATATCAGAGCTTTCATGGCTCACAAGAGGATGGATGTGGGGACATAGGTAATGACTTAAGGTTGACATGTGTTCAACTTTAAGTCATTAACCATGTAAGAATATGGAAGGTTCAGAAGCACATGTGGATGTAAACCTGAGCATTTGGTTGGTTTCTTTCTGCTTAATGTTCTTTCCTGAGAGCGTTCTGTTTTATGTATCAATCAGTGAGGGAATGTTTGGAACATTTCTCTGGACCCTCAGGTTTGAGCTTTTTGCCTCGACCTCCCACAGTGCCAGGGCAGCTGGGCCAGTCCTTTTTAGCTGAATCTATCTCTCAGGCAGCTGCTGGACAGAACTAAAACAACATTCCTGTCCTTTGACCCAATGAGCCTATTTACAGGAACTCCACTCCACTTTGGTAATGCTCCAAAATACAGAAAAAGTTTATAGAAGCACTGTTTTGGTTAGATTATAGCATTTTCAATTTGGTAACACCTATAATCTCAGTACTTGGGAAGTGGAGACAGGAGAGGAGGATCAAGAGTTCAAAGCATCCTCAGCCACTTATTAACTTAGAGGTCAGCCTTAGCAGCATGAAATCTGTCTCAGGGAATCTGATGTCTTATTCTGACCATCTCAGGCATCAGGCATGCATGTAGGAAACACGTATGTAGGAAAACCACTTATATACATAAAATAAAATTTCAAAAATTGTAGGAAGTTGGAGAGATGGTTCAGTGATTAAGGGCACATACTGTTTCTGCAGGGTACCTGGGTTGGATTCCTTACACTCACATAAGGCAGCTTACAACTGCCTGTAATTTCAGCTTCAGGGGATCTGGTACCTCTCTGACCTCTTCCTCCTCTTCCTCCTTCTCCTCCTCCTCCATACACAACACACACACACACACACAAATGATAATAATAATAATAATAAATTTTTAAAAAAGAAAACATTAAGTAAAGATAAAATAGTAACAACAACAAAATGAATATTAAAAAAAGAATGCAGTAGTTTCCATACTGACTGACTAGTTCCTCATAGGCACTCTCCAATGGTTATGGTCAAGGGCATCTGTTTTAGTAGTCTTCTGCTGTAGTCAGAGGTTTGTGTTTTGTCACTGAGTTTGGTGGCCTTGTGTACTTCTGGCATCAAACCTTGGGCACAGTACCCTCCTCAGTAGGGCTCAGTAGAAGCTGCCAGCTACTAAATGTCCTCAAACTGATAGGTCACCCAGGTATCTGCCAGATTAATGGTATTTAGAAAACAAGATTTGTAACTTGTGTAGAGCAGCAGAAGAAGTTTGATAAGTCTCCTTGAAGGCCCAGGGGAAACTCCCCATTTTCCAGGGTCACTCCAAGAATAGTGGGCATCAGAAGTCTGGGAATCAGTTCCAGGTCTTTATTTTCTTTTGTGTTACTATGTTTTATTTTGTTTACACAAGGTCTCACTATGTAGCCATGGCTGTCCTGGAACTCTCTCTAGACCAGGCTGGCCTCAAATGTACAGATATCTGCTTTCTGAGTGATGGAATTAAAGGTATATGCTAACACACCCAGCCCTGCTGCATATTTTTTGAGATGGAATCTCATATAGCCTTTAACTCACAATGTTTCCAAGGATGACCTTGGACCTCTTGCCTATACCTACTTAGTCCTGGGATTATAGGTGGAGATCCAGGTCTTTTATGACTCATGGGGCAAACTTTCAGTCTATTTTCTCCAGGACTTCGTGTGTGTCCTGAAAATTGAATTTATGGCTTTTGACATACATGTGCCTTACTGCTGACATAAAACCTCAGCCCTTTACCATTTAAAATGTACAATTAAAGCTGGGCGTGGTGGCGCATGCCTTTAATCCCAGCACTCTGGAGGCAGAGGCAGGCAGATATCTGTGAGTTTGAGGCCAGCCTGGTCTACAGAGTGAGTTTCAGGTCAGCCAGGGCTACACAGAGAAACCCTGTCTTGGAACAAAATACAATTAAATGGTATAAATTATATTCACAGTGTTGTGTAGCCATTACCAGTACCTATTCCTGTATGTATAGATGTTTACATATACATATGTAACATTTACATATATATAATATATATATTACATATACATATAACTGCTGATCCTCCTGCTTCTACATGCTAAGTCTTGAAATTAAATGCATGACAACATGCTCATCAGGACTTTTAGATTTATCTATAAAGTCCTAATTCTTTTTTTCCCCATGGTGTGTATGTGTGATATGTGTATATGTAGATACGTGTCTGTGTTCTTTTTTTTTTTTTAAATTTTTATTTATTTATTATATGTAAGTACACTGTAGCTGTCTTCAGACACCCCACAAGAGGGCATCAGATATCATTACCGATGGTTGTGAGCCACCATGTGGTTGCTGGGATTTGAACTCATGACCTCTGGAAGAGCAGTCAGTGCTCTTAACCTCTGAGCCATCTCACCAGCCCACGTGTCTGTGTTCTTGTATGTTGAGTGTAGTAGGCATGTGTACTGAGGTGTGTGGAGATCAAAGGACAATTCCAGGTGTTGGTCTTAACCTTCCATCATGTTTGAGACAGGGTCTCTTTTAAATTGATGAGTATGCCTTCCTAGGTGTCCTAAGAGCTTCTGTTTCTGATCTTCTCATAAGAGTTCTGGGATTATGGGCAGGTGCTACTGGGGCCTGTTTCACATGGATTCAGGGGATAAAAACAGCCTAGAAGCCCTGCAGAGAGGCAGAGGGAGGTGGATCACCATAAGTTCAAGGCCAGCCTGTTCTGCATATTGTGTTCCAGGTCAGCTATAGAGAGAGTTCCAGGTCTACATAGAGAGACCCTGCCTCAAGCAAACAAGCAAACATCCAACAAACCAACAACCATCTCTAACCCTGCAAAGAATGCAGGTCCTCATGTTTGCATGACAAGTATTTTATTCACTAAGTGGTCTCCCCAGCCTTCTTTTTCATTTCCTTCCTTCCTTCCTTCCTTCCTTCCTTCCTTCCTTCCTTCCTTCCTTCCTCCCTTCCTCCCTTCCTCCCTTCCTCCCTCCCTTCCTCCCTCCCTCCCTCCCTCCCTCCTTCCTTCCCTTCCTTCCTTCATCTTCTAATTTTTCTTTCTTTCTTTCTTTCTTTCTTTCTTTCTTTCTTTCTTTCTTTCTTTCTTTCTTAAGACAGGGTCATGCTACATAGTCTGAGCTGGTTTTGAACTTATTGCACAGACAAGGATAATCTTGAATTTTTGTTCTTTTGTCTGTACCTCTCAAGTGCTGAGTTTTCAGATCCATTCCATCCAGCCTATATTATGTGTTACTTACTGGGGGTGGAATCTAGGGCTTTATGCTTGAGATGTTTGCACTTAATCCTCAGAGTTACAGCCCTTGTCCTAATTTTGTGCATGTCAAAGTAGAATATACATATATATATTGTCCTAATTCATTTTGTTGTCTGCTTGAAGAAGAAACTTCAATTGAAAAGTTTCCTGGGTGGGATTCACCTGTGGGTATGTCTGTGGGAGTATTTTCTTGATTGCTGATTGATGCAGGAACACCAAGCCCATTGTATGCAGTGTCATCCCTGGGCAGGTGGACCTGGTTGGGCTGTGTAAGCTACCTAGCTGAATGTGAACCTGGAAACAAGCCAGCAAGTATCATTCCTCCATGTCCTCTGCTTCAGTTTCTGCTTTCAAATTCCTGCTTTAAGTTCTTGACCTGACCTCCTCAGTGATGGCTTGTGATCTGGGAATTATAAGATGTAGAAGGCCAGATCCCAACAGTGAGTTCAGTGATCCAAGATGGGGATGTGGGGTCAGTGATTAAGGTGAAGCAAGCACACACACACACACACACACACACACACACACACACACACACACGAACAGTGGAATGAAGCAAGGCTCTAACAAGCTCCAACAATTTTATTCTCCCATAGCTTATATATCCCAGCAAAATCTTTCAACCAATATAAAAATTACAATGTGGTTACATTCTATTTTTAAGTGAATAATTACAGTAAGGATACATTTAAAAAAAAAGCATTCCCCCAATACCATTACATGATTAAATATCTTATGTATGAAAGTGAAAAAAAACAAATTATTCCCAAGAACCCATGTATATTCATGTTTAAGTGACTTGTTATAAATTAACAGAGTGTAAGCAAGCAAGGTAATTTTTTCTCAGACAGTCAGGCTGCAATTTGTGATTACAAAGAAAGGAACAATTATTCATTATATATCTTAAAAAGTAATCTTACAAAAAATCTTAAAAGATGCACAAATCTAAACCTTTATATAAAAAACAATAATCATTTATACTTTAAATCTTCAGGGTGCACATCTACTCACCAATTTTTTATTAAATCATCTCAAGAAGCTGAGGCAAAAATAAGTATAAAAAATTAATCATCACCTTGATCACTAGAAAGGCACATCAGCACCCTAGTTAGGGTGCCATCGTTCTTGTTCTCTGACTTCAAAAAAAAAATCCCTAGCTCAATTATCATAAGTGTGACTTTCTGAACTTTAAATTGTTCCCCAAGATTTTCTATGTCAAAGCCAGTATCAAAAGACATCTTAACTTAACTTTAATAACTACATCTCTAAATTCTAAGGGTGGTGGTTGAATAATCTATTCTAGCAACACTGCTTTGAAAAGATCAATCACTAATATTGTAAGTCCCAATGATACTGCCCAGTGAGGGGCTGGAATCCCCCTTAGAGTTTTCATACCACTCATATATTATGAAGTGTGTGGTAACTGTGAGGGCAATAAGCAGATAGATACTCAACAGCATGAGGTCCTTAGGACACATAGTCCTTGGG